GTCCCTGCATCCCCCCATCCTTGTGTGTCCCTGCCCCCCCTTCCACTCCCATGTGTCCCTGCATCCCCACTTGCATTCCACCCCTGGATCACTGTTACCTCACTAGCTCCAGTGAGACCCCAGGAGCCCTGTACGCCCCCTTCGGTCCATCTCCCCCACACTCCTTGCCTCCACACCTGACCCCACTGTGAAGTATCCTCTGACCCCCTCCCCCGCAGTGGCTGGCTGCTCCAGCCGTAAGCCAGCTGCCCTCTCTTCTGGTGCCACAGCAGTCCCTAGTAGGAAAAAGGTGTAATTGCAGAATAAAATCAATTATTTTGGAGTGAAAAATAATATTTGGAGCACATGAATTTTGTGCTTGCGCAGTGGTGCAGAATTCCTCCGTGAGTATCGCATATGAAGTGACGTCACACACGTAATCATTGACGGGTACGGCAAAATCAAGCCCTGGCACAGAGGTGCGTAGAACTGTTCGTGTTCTTTCCTCAACTGTTCTCTCCTGTTAGCCATGCCCACAGACTACGCAAATGAGTCAAATCCCTGAATATGTCTCTGGGATGAACTACTCTCCAAGGACGGAGCCATCCAGGAGTGGAAAGAGACTTTCCATAGAGATTGTTCGAACTTCTAGATGGAAATTTCTGCTAGGGATGTAAATACTGTTTTAAAAGTTAACCGTTCAAACAAGTAAAATATGTCATTTAAAGGGTTAACCATTTAAGCGGCAGCGCCATCTAACAGAAATGGTATAAAATGTCCCATGTTGTTCAGTACGTCGCTTCCTCAAGTCAAAATGTCTGCATGAAGGAGATGTGAGTGGACCCAGCATCAGGGAGAACACCACCTGCTGGGTAACAACTTGAGTTGGTTGCTGACAAGCACCCTATTAACTCTGTCTGTTCTAGTCCGGTCTTGGGCAACCACTGAGAAATCCATGCAGAGAACAGGCGTCTGGCTGTCACAGCACCTTGAGTGAAAAACCTGAATGAACTCCCTCTCCGTCTCTAGAACCAGCCACTGCAACGGTGAAGCTGAGCTAGAGAAGTCACCTCCATGCCAGCTCCAATGGATATGTAGAAAAAAATCATTTTGCATATTTACATATTGGTTAATGAACCATATTTACATACTGGATAATAAACTGACAACATGGTTGTGTTAAGCTAACTGCTTCGTATGTGAGTTAACATCCTCTGGGCGACTAAAATGTATGAGGCGCAGAGGCGACTGGCAGGGCCGTCCCTAGCTATTCTGGGGCCCTACGCAGCCCCTTCACAGGGCGGGGTGTGTGGGGACCCAGGTCTCCATGATGTGGGGGGACAGCTGGCTTGGAAGTCAGGGGGGGAACATTAGAATCTTAAAAGACCTATTGGTTTTCCTAGGTGCCCATCCATAGAATTATAGAATATCAGGGTTGGAAGAGACCTCAGGTGGTCATCTAGTTCAACCTCCTGCTCAAAGCAGGACCAATCCTCAACTAAATCATCCCAGCCAGGGCTTTGTCAAGCCTGACCTTAAAAACCTCTAAGGAAGGAGATCCCACCACCTCCCTAGGTAACCCATTCCAGTGCTTCATCACCCTCCTAGTGAAAACGTATTTCCTAATATCCAACCTAACCTCCCGCACTGCAACTTGAGACCGTTACTCCTTGTACTCTCATCTGCTACCACTGAGAACAGTCTAGATCCATCCTCTTTGGAACCCCTTTTCAGCTAGTTAAAAGCAGCTATCAAATCCCGACTCATTCTTCTCTTCTGCAGACTAAACAATCCCAGTTCCCTCAGCCTCTCCTCCAGCCCCCTAATCATTTTTGTTGCCCTCCACTGGACTCTTTCCAATTTATCCACATCCTTCTTGCGGTGTGGAGCCCAAAACTGGACACAGTACTCCAGATGAGACCTCACCAATGCCGAATAGAGGGAAAGATCATGTCCCTCGATCTGCTGGAAATGCCCCTACTTATACAACCCCAAATGCCGTTAGCCTTCTTAGCAACAAGGGCATACTGTTGACTCGTATCCAGCTTCTCATCCATTGTAACCCCTAGGTCCTTTTCTGCAGAACTGCTGCCTAACTATTCGGTCCCTCGTCTGTAGCAGCGCATGGGATTCTTCCATCCTAAGTGCAGGACTCTGCACTTATCCTTGTTGAACCTCATTAGATTTCTTTTGGCCCCATCCTCTAATTTGTCTAGGGCCCTCTGTATCCCATCCCTACCCTCCAGGGTATCCACCACCCCTCCCAGTTTAGTGTCATCTGCAAACTTGCTGAGGGTGCAATCCACGCCCTCCTCCAGATCATTAATGAAGATATTGAACAAAACCAGCCCCAGGACCGACCCTTGGGGCACTCCGCTCGATATCGGCTGCCAACTAGACATGGAGCCATGATCACTACCCGTTGAGCCTGACAATCTAGTCAGCTTTCTAGCCACCTTATAGTCCATTCATCCAGCCCATACTTCTTTAACTTGCTGGCAAGAATACTGTGGGAGACCGTATCAAAAGCTTTCCTAAAGTCAAGGAATAACATGTCCACTGCTTTCCGCTGATCCATAGAGCCAGTTATCTTGTCACAGAAGGCAATTAGGTTAGTCAGGCATAACTTGCCCTTGGTGAATCCATGCTGACTGTTCCTGATCACTTTCCTCTTCTTTAAGTGCTTCAGAATTGATGAAACCATGAATGAAGTTTATTAATGACAAAGAGAGATTTTAAGTGAGTACAGCAATGAGGCATAACAGTCAGAAATGGTTACAAGAATAATAAAAATAAAATGCTGTCTAGTGCCTACTTGAACTATGTTAGATTAGATTACTGACGAAACAAATGAGGCCTCCGCTCTGATCCAGTCTGACTTAAGTCATAGGGAATAGCCAGTGGCTCTCTACCTTTCCGGACTACTCTACCCCTTTCAGCAGTGTGATTTCTTTTGCGTATGCCAAAGTTTCACCTCACTTAAAAACCACTTGCTTACGAAATCAGACATAAAAATACAAAAGTCTCCCAGCACACTAGTACTGACAAAATGCTTACTTCCTCATTTTTATCATATAATTATGAATCAATTGCAATATGAATATTGAACTTCTATTTCAGTGTATAGTATATAGAGTGGTATAAACAAGTCATTGTCAGTACGAAAGTTTAGTTTGTACTGACTTTGCGAGTGCTTTTTGTAACCTGTTGTAAAACTAAGCCACTCTCTAGATGAGATGGTGTACTGCCTGGTGTACCCCCTCAGCATACCCCCAGGGGTATCTGTACCCTTGTTGAGAACCACTGACCTGAGTGATTTGCTCAAGGTCAGAGAGGGACCAAGTGGCAGAACTAGGAATAGAAACCACGAGTCCTGTAGTCGAGCCCAGCATCATAACTACAAACCCAGCCTCTCTCCTTCATTCAAGGTGGCGAACGCCCCCTGTTAAGAGTTTTAACATATTTGTATCTTGTAATTTTATAGTGTTTTTAATGAGGTTTTCTGATTTTATCCCCTCATAATCACTAAAATGGTGATTATCCAATATGGAGTCAGACATTTAATATGGCATCTCTTTGCCACAAGCAACAAGACTCCATCTTGTTTCAGCTGGGTGGTGGTGGTTTTGCACCCTTTTTGAACTTTGGCGGGAAAGGGCAGCTAACAGGCAACTCTGAACTGGTTCTGTAACTGACAGTTTACCTCAGGTCTTCCCGTCACAGAACTGTTAAAAGGAACTGCGTGACGTCACCACAATGCTCTCCGTCACAGAGGCAGCCGATCGCAGTGGCGTTAGCACGGTCCTCAGATCACGAGTCAGCAAATCGAGATCACGATCCTCAGATCACGAGACAGCTCATGCTCATCCATCCCATCCACGTACCTGCCGCATCCAGGGTGACACCTGTAACACCTCGGCAAGGTCAGGCCTGACCAGAGAATTCAAAAAGGCTGCAGCCCATGAGCCCGGCTGACAGGACGCAGCTACGAACCCTTCCCTTGATGGCCACCTCAGTGGATGCTTTGTCAAGACCATGCTCTGGCATTGCTCAGTGATGTTTGCCAGGTTGGTGTTGAAATCAGGGGTGGGTCCCCCTGCTGCAATGCACAGAGATGGAGCGTCACAAGGAAGATACAGCTGGGACCCCACTCGAGGGTAATCCTGACTGCGAGCCCCCTCTGCTTCAACCCACCACGATCCACTCCCCTCCCAGAGCCTGGGATAGAATCAAGGTGTCCTGACTCTGAGCCCTCTGCTATAACCCGCCATCCCCTTGCAGAGCGGAGATGGGACCCCGGAGTCCTGAGGCCCCTGGTGACCCTCTCTGCCCCAAACTACCTGTTCCAGGGCCCTTCCCCTCTTCAGCCATCGTTAGCTGTTATCTGGGAAGCTGGCAGGGCTCTGCAGCACTCCCTCTGGCTGGGGTTGTGTCACACAGACACAGGATCCATCCCTTCCTCCCCATACCTTTGTGGGCAAAGTGCAGGAGCATGACAAGCTTCTGGAAGAGCGGGTTGTGCTTGGCTTCCCGCGGGCCCTTGATGTTGTCACCAGCGCGGTGGGACACCTGAGGTGTGCAGGGCCCGGCACAATGAGCGGGGGCAGGGGCAGCTGCTTCAGTGCCAGCACCGAGGCCAGAACACGGCATCTGTATGGGGCACCTGCCCTCCCCATGGCACTGGGCAGTGATATGGGTGTGAACTCCTGAAACACACAAACACACTACAGCCACGTGTGAGCTCCTGTAACACTCATGAACACACCGCCCTCCTCTAACTCACACACAATTGTCGTCTAACACGCACATTACAGGGGACCACACCCCAGGCTGTGATCCCCTGTAAGTAACACACACACCAACATCACACAGCATAACAACAAACACAGCACACATCCAGAGCCTTGTCTTACTGTGACACACACACACTACACAGTCACCTTGTGATCTGTAAAACACTCACGTTACACAGCCTTCCTGTACCACTCAGACCCACAGACAGCCTGGGGGTTGATCTCCTCAGATGCACACACCAACCTCACACAGCCAATCAACAACCACAGCCCGACCCGTGTGTTACTGTGACACTCCCACGCTGCACAGCCTGGCCGAGGCCCTCTTGTACCCACTAGTCCCCGCTCCCCTCCCAGAGCCAAGAGAGGACCCAGGAGTCCGGGCTCCGGGCTCCCAGCTCCCCACAGCACAGCGGGGCCCCGCGCACAGCCCAGGGGCGGGGACCGGGTTGCCCCATTACGGGCTCCTGCCGCCGGGGGACCAGGTGCCGCGAGCGCCCCCAGCGGCGGGACTCGGGACCCAGGCGTCCGGCGGGGGGCTGGGCCGGAGGGTCGCTGCGCTGGGGCCCCCCCCCCAGCTGCTGGAGCTGGCGGCGCAGGCGCGGGGCCGGGCGCGGAGCGGGCGGGAGGCGGCCCCGGGGAGGCACCAGCCGGGGGCGGGAAGTCGCTGCCCGGGCGAAGGAAGCGGCCGGGGCCGGAGCCGAGCCCGGCGATGGCTGCAGCGGGGACGGCGCAGGTAGGACGCGGGGCGGGAACTCCCCGGCCGGGCACTGGCTGGGGCCGAGGGGGCCGGGACCGGGTCCCTCCCGCGCTAGTGACCCCGGGGCTGGGGGCTGCCGCACTCGGAGCGCTGGGGCCGGGGAGCGGCGCTGGGGGCCCCGGGCCGGGCGGACACGCGGAGCCGGGCCGAGGAGCCCCGAGGTGGCCGAGGCGGGGGCGGGAGCGGGGCCGAGCCCAGGCCTGGGGCGGAGGCGGGGACTCCGGCCGGGGGAGGAGCCTGGTCCCTGCCCTGGGATTCGGGCCCTTCCCAGCGCCCCGCCCCAGAGCCCCGTGGGGAGCCCAGGGCCGGTTTTGTTCAATATCTTCATAAATGATCTGGAGGATGGTGTGGATTGCACTCTCAGCACATTTGCGGATGATACTAAACTGGGAGGAGTGGTAGATACGCTGGAGGGCAGGGATAGGATACAGAGGGACCTAGACAAATTGGAGGATTGGGCCAAAAGAAATCTGATGAGGTTCAACAAGGACAAGTGCAGGGTCCTGCACTTAGGACGGAAGAACCCAATGCACAGCTACAGACTAGGGACCGAATGGCTAGGCAGCAGTTCTGCGGAAAAGGACCTAGGGGTGACAGTGGACGAGAAGCTGGATATGAGTCAGCAGTGTGCCCTTGTTGCCAAGAAGGCCAATGGCATTTTGGGATGTATAAGTAGGGGCATAGCGAGCAGATCGAGGGACGTGATCGTTCCCCTCGATTGGACATTGGTGAGGCCTCATCTGGAGTACTGTGTCCAGTTTTGGGCCCCTCACTACAAGAAGGATGTGGATAAATTGGAGAGAGTCCAGCGAAGGGCAACAAAAATGATTAGGGGTCTGGAACACATGACTTATGAGGAGAGGCTGAGGGAACTGGGATTGTTTAGCCTGCAGAAGAGAAGAATGAGGGGGGATTTGATAGCTGCTTTCAACTACCTGAGAGGCGGTTCCAGAGAGGATGGTTCTAGACTATTCTCAGTGGTGGAAGAGGACAGGACAAGGAGTAACGGTCTCAAGTTGCAGTGGGGGAGGTTCAGGTTGGATATTAGGAAAAACTTTTTCACTAGGAGGGTGGTGAAACACTGGAATGCGTTGCCTAGGGAGGTGGTGGAATCTCCTTCCTTAGACGTTTTTAAGATCAGGCTTGACAAAGCCCTGGCTGGGATGATTTAATTGGGTATGGGTCCTGCTTTTGAGCAGGGGGTTGGACTAGATGACCTCCTGAGGTCCCTTCCAACCCTGATATTCTATGATTCTATGACTCCTGTCGCCGGCCAGCAGGGCCCGAGTCCCCGGGGGGCTGTGCGGGGGGGTCTCCCTGGGGCACAGCTGCTGGGCTGGGGGTTCCCCGGGAGCCGCTGCCCTAGAACCCGCATCCCCTGCTGAGAGCCCGGGCTGGGGCTGGAGCGGAGGGTGCTGAGTGTGTAACGCTTGTGCCAGCAGCTGCCGGTGGCGTTTGAGGATGTGGCTCTGTATTTCACCCGGGAGGAATGGGAGCTCTTGTCCCAGCCAGAGAAGCAGCTGTACCGGAACCAGATGCTGAGGAATTACCAGGCCCTCGTTTCCTTGGGTAAGGACCAATTTCCCTTCATTTATTCACAGCTGTAAAACATTTGGGTTCCCTTGAGCCTTTGGCTGCCATGTGGCACCCTGTCACTGAGTGGTGGCAAATGCCAGCCCCTTTCAGGTCAGCTCGCTGTTGGAGGAGAACTCGGGGCTGCAGAGCCTGGGGCTAATCTTGGTGTAACAGGTTTATTTGAATTACCTGCCTCAGTCGTGGCACATTCCTGATGGTAGCAAAGAGCCGATGAGCAACCATCTCTTCCCAGAATCCCAGCCAGAGGTTGACGGCAGCAACTCTGCCTCAGGAACTCATTCTAGTCAGAGAAATAAGGCAGGGGGAAAACACTGCTGCTGCAACAGCTCCCCACCTCCCCCAAAAGAATGAACATCGTAAATTTAACAACTGTACAACTGAACAATGCAAAAGAACTGGAATGTCTGTGTAACGGTGACACTGGGTCACACCTGCCACGACACGTTGTGGCCGATTTGCCTTAATGACATGCCTGAAACGTTTCAACAGCTATAAGTCGGCAAGGAGCAAAGTTGCCTTAGTCCAAAGTGTGGGTTAAAAGAAAATCCATGTCACACAGTTGTCCTATGGAACGTAGTGCCACAAGATCGCGTAGAGGCCAAGGTATTAGCAGAAAGGGATATTTCTATGGAACATCTAGAGTTACTTCAGCAAGGATTTAAACTCGGCCCCCACTGCAATGTGAGAAGGGTTGTAGGCGTTGCTGATTCAGAGTATGAACTGAACTTGCCTGGCGGAAGACGGGAAGGAATCTCCTCTAAGGAAGGTTTATTTCTTTATTCTCCTGCTTGGAAACTCTTGTGCTTTCCCATGAAGCAGCGTGCAAGATGTCATGCCAGGTGCTACACAAACATAAACGAGACCCTGCCCCCAAAACTTTAGTAATAAAACTTTCCCCCAAAACAGGTTCTTCAGGTTCCAAACCGGACTTAATCCACCGGATCGAGCTAGGGAGGCAGAGCTCTGGATCCGGGATGCTGAGATCTCCAGGGTAAACTCTGGGCCTGAGAGCCCCTCCTCAGGTGAGTCATAATAATCCAGTCCCTTCTGATTTACACACCTGCTAGCGAAGGTCTCCTTGATGTAGAAGGCAAAGGCAGAGCGAGATTCACTGGCTGGGAGCTGAAGAGAGACAAATTGAAGCTGGGAATTAGGGGCCAGTGTTTATCTGGGAGGGGGAATAAACCATTGGGAGAGCTCCCGATGGATTCTCCCTCACCGTGTATTTATAAAACGCTTTGTTTTTTCCCTTTATATTGCTAGTTTAGTTTTGTTTTTTGCCTTGGCCTTTCTCATTTTCTCCCTAGATGCTTGTGGTGTTTTTTAAGACTCATTTTTGAAATTTGACCTGCTTTCCATTTCTTGTACGACTCTTTTTTGAAGAGTCGCTGCAGCTCCACCATGTCTCGGCTACCCCAGCTGTTTAATGGAAAGGACACTGGGGCTGTGAGCAATGTTCCCTCTCATTTTTTCCATCCATTTGCAGAATAAATTTTGTTATGTACATCGAGTTATGTGTACCACCAGTAGACACAAAAAAATCTACATATACTTTTTTTAAAAGTTACCATAGGGATATTTACCCCAGCCAGGAGACCTTAGGTATTTTGGAACTTACTAATTAAATTTAATTAAATTTAAGTGCAAGAAAAGTAAAAATCATGAAATGCATAGACCAGTCAAAACACTAAAGTAACACATTGAGGAAGAATAAAATTTTAGAGAATATATGTGCATTATAGGAAGTAGCAAGAAGTAACAACAATATTACAACTGTGTGTTCGGAGGTGAGTGTGAAAGAGCCAATGAGTGTGAGTGTGTGTGTGTAATCAGTCTATAGTCAGACATTCACTGAAAGCTCTCCTGAGCCCTGTCTCCCCTGCCCTCACTCTGAGGAGATGGGGTACGTAGACTGGTGGAGAGGAGGAGGGGAGAGGAAGATAGAGACTGTGTGAACTGGCTGATGGGGGGCAAACAAGCACCTGGGTAGAAAGACAAGCCTGTCCGGTCATAGAACACAAGACCTGCTAGGCTTCCCACACCTCAGAAAATCATACCAAGGTAAAGGGCGCCCTAGAGATTTTTCAAATGGCTTTTCATGGCTCTGCCCCCTGCAAGAGCATCCCAGAGTCACTGATCCTTGGCAGAGAAGGTGCTGTTCTCCCCAGGTTCCCACCCCACCCCCTCTCTGCCACTTCACTTTGCATGTGACCTCTCAGACTGGAGAAACCTGTTCCCAGAGAGCAAGGAGAAAGCTGGGAATGACGCCGGGCAGGGTCAGTCACATAGGACTAGTGTAAGGTGACGCCATGCAGAGGCGCCATGGTGTAGAACAGATCTCTAGCACCTGCAGCACTTCGCTGTAATGCTCTAAAACTGCCCCGCGGGCCAGGCGGCTGCTGTGGGGGAAGTGGACACATTTAGGGGCCAGATTAAATTGTCCTGCGGGCCATGACTTGGAGTACCCTGGTGTATGGGCTGGCTGTGAGAGAGAGGGTGGCGGTATGGCCTTTGTCCCATCCCCTCTCCTCTCGCTCTTTGTGGCACGATACTTTTGTCACTTACATTGCTTCAGTGTCAATGCTTAGCACAGCCCTCAGCCCTAATGTGTCTGTGACTGTAGACCAAAGGCTGGGTGGCAGCCATTCACCCCTTCCAGCTCAGCAGTGCCAGGGAGCGGGTTGTGACACAATACAGACATGTTTTCCAGGTTACATCACACAAACTCTGAGTGACTGGTCATCCCCTCAAATCCTTCACACACAGACACCCCCCAAAACCCTCATCTTCTTGAGGATTTTAGTTTAGTTTTAGTTTTGCACAAAGACTGAAACCTCAGGCTGAGAGTAAATGATTTCTTCAAAAGGAATTCCTAGAAAGGGACTCGCTCCCCCACAGGAATAAGCTACATTGTTCTAAGCAGCTTTAAACTGGTCTCACTGCGTCCACATGAAGGGATTGTAGCCCCTCAACCAAACTAGTTTCAAACCAATATAATTATAACAGCAAAAATACTGAGGAACAGGCCTCATCCTACAAAACAGGAGAAAGTGAAGAACCAATACCACATAAATAAACCCCTCTGATTGAAATAAAGACAAAATCAGTTTGAAAACAAAACCAGGGTCTTGTTGTGCCAGGCGCTGCCTGTATCCTGGGCAGGCTACAATTGAAGCTTAAACCAAGACCCAAGACATGCCTAGCCCCTGTGGGAGCAGGCGCTAGGTGCTGCACAAACAGCATAGGGTAGAACCACCCTGAGTCAGGCTGAAGACTTGTTACGGCGTTTTGTATCAGAAATTATGGAGCAGTTACAGTAAATTTAGTAAAATCACAGGTCTGTAAATTTACTGTGACTGCTCCAGGATTTTTAATAAACCCTGCTGTCAAGGCTCATTCCCTGCTCTGGCACTTCGAGTGCAGAAGGTGGGGGCCTGGAAGGACTTTAAACCTTAATACTTGCCACTCCAGGCTTGTATTAAACTCCCAAGGTTAGAGATTCTAACCCTAGCCCTAACCGTGAGCTAACACTGGGATTCCCTCTGCTCTCTCCAGCAGGGCTCAGGATCCCGGGAGGAACGAGTACACAGTCTGAATGTGGAGAGAGCACGGGAGGAACGCAGAATCCCGCAGCCCACAGAGGGATCCATGCACAGGACACAGTCCATCCCCGGGGCAGACTCAGGCAGAGACCGGACCTGGCTACACACCAGAGACTCCCCATGGGCCGGTGTCCCCATCGCTGTATCGACTGCGGCAAGAGGTTCAGCAACCCCTCCGCACTGACCCAGCACCGGTGCATGCCCACCGGGGAGCAGCCGTATTGCTGTGCTGACTGCGGCAGAAGATTCAGATGGTCCTCGGTCCTGAAAATACACCAGCGCACACACACGGGGGAGCGGCCGTATCGCTGCGCTGACTGCGGCAAGAGCTTTGCGGAGAGCTCACACCTGAGAACACACCAGCGCACGCACACTCGAGAGCGGCCGCACCGCTGCGCCGACTGTGGAAAGGGCTTTGCACAATTTTCGTACCTGAGAAGACACCAGCGCACGCACACCGGGGAACTGCCATACAGCTGTGCTGACTGCGGCAAGGGCTTTGCCCAGAACTCAAGCTTGAGAATGCACCAGGTCACACACAGCGGGGAGCGGCTGCACCGCTGCGCCGACTGCGGCAAGAGCTTTGCAGCGAGCGCAAGCTTGAGAAGTCACCAGCGCACGCACAGCGGGGAGCGGCTGTATCGCTGCACCCACTGCGGCAAGGGCTTTTCAACGAGCTCAAAGCTGAGAAGTCACCAGCGCACGCACACCGGGGAGCGGCCGTACCGCTGCCCCGACTGTGGCAAGAGCTTTGCGGAGAGCTCACACCTGAGAGCCCACCGGCGCACGCACACCGGGGAGCTGCCGCACCACTGTGCTGACTGCGGCAAGGGCTTTCATCGGATCTCAACCCTGAGAAGGCACCAGGGCATAGATACCCGGAAGTGGCTGCACCGCTGCACCGACTGCGGTAAGTGTTTTTCACAGAGCTCACACCTGAAAATACACCAGCGCAGGCACACCGGGGAGCGGCCGCACCGCTGCGCCGACTGCGGCAAGAGCTTTGCAGAGAGCGCAAACCTGAGAAGACACCGGCGCACGCACACCGGGGAGTGGCCGCTCCACTGTACCGACTGCGGCAAGGGCTTTGCCCATAGCTCAAACCTGAGAACACACCAGCGCACGCACACAAGGGAGCGGCCGTACCGCTGCAACGACTGCGGCAAGAGCTTTGCAAAGAGCTCGACCCTGAAAACACACCAGCGCACGCACACCGGGGAGCGGCCCTACCACTGTGATGTTTGCAAGAAAAGCTTCAGCAATGCCAGTACGCTGACCAAACATCTTCGCACACACGCACGGGGAGCAGCTCTCCCGCTGTGCCAACTGCGGTAAGAAGTTCAGCAGTGCCAACAAGCTGACCCACACGCACCGGGGAGCAGCTGTAATGCTGGACTGACTGCGGAAAGGGCTTTGCACACAGCTCAAATCTCTGAATACATCAGTGCGCACACCGGGGAACGGCCATTCCAGTGCACTGTCTGGAGAAAGAGCTTTGCACAGAGCTAATACCTGAGAATACACCAGCGCATTCACAGTGGGGAGCGGCTCTACAGGTGTGCTGACTGTGGCAAATGCTTTGCTCACCTGTCCCCAGTTGACTCCCTAATACCCCTCTGCCACCACCAGGGCCCGACGGGCTGCTGGCAGGCCTGGCACAGTGCCAGCAGAATCAGACCAGGGAGTGGTCCTGTCCCCATCATGCCCAGCAGAGACTGTGTGGGGCAGGGAATGGGACTTAACTGAGCAGTGTGGAGGAAGAGCAGCCAGGTGGGGGGATTTTAGAGTAGATGGTCACAACCTCCTCCATTAGGAAAGGAGATCCGTCTCGGAGGGATCCAGCCAGGTCTATCTCTATCAAACTCCCCCCAACACATATAGCTGTGCGGCAGCCAGGACAATCCTTCCCTACCCCTCCTCCATCCAGATGGGACTGAGTCAGGGACTTTCCCCCACAGCTACCTCCGTTTCAGCCAGCGGGTGACTCTTGGGTGACATCTACAGGGAGGTTTCAGAGGAACAGCCGTGTTAGTCTGTATTCGCAAAAGAAAAGGAGTACTTGTGGCACCTTAGAGACTAACCAATTTATTTGAGCATGAGCTTTCGTGAGCTACAGCTCACTTCATCAGATGTTTACCGTGGAAACTGCACTTTTCCACTTTTTCCACGGTAAACATCTGATGAAGTGAGCTGTAGCTCACGAAAGCTCATGCTCAAATAAATTGGTTAGTCTCTAAGGTGCCACAAGTACTCCTTTTCGATCTACAGGGAGGGATTTGCAGTCCTGTCTCAGCATGGATTGAGCTGAGGGGCAGGACAGCTCAGTGCTTGAGACTGAAAGAAGACTCAGGAACTGCTCATGCCGTCTACTTTAAATAGAAATGCGATGCAGAACTATGTACCTAATGTGTAACAAAGGTCTGTCTAACCTGGTGTTTCTTTGCTATTAAAGAAGCTGCTGCATTCAGAAGCCAATGTGAAGTGTAAATCTTTAAGATAAACCAGCCCAAATGTACTAAGGCTTGACTGACCATGAGGCCTGATGAACTGTGTGACCGGCGGGTGCACACAGAGAGTTTTGCATTACTCCTTGGGGAATTCTATGTCAAAAAAAAATTCTGCACCCCATATTTTAAAATTCTGCATATTTTATTTGTCAAAATAACACAATATAATTGTGACAGGGCACCCCATAAGGCTTTATGGGGATATGCTTGTAAATGTCTATATGACATAACTGGAATGTGTTTTATGGTACATGTGCCATGTATCATATCTCTGTAAAGGTTATGATCTATTGAATCTATTCCTCCTATCTATATGCATGTGTCATTTTTGTAGTTGAAGTTATGAATATTGGCTGTGTACATGCTTGATTTCTGGGTAGCCTTGGTAAAAGTATTTTGTCAGTTTTCTGAGAGAAGTCTAATCCCAGTAAGTGCCCAATCAAGAACCACTTAAGCCAACAGTGATTTGGGAGACGCCAATCCACTTCTGAGCTTTCCCAGGAATGTGGTGTGACTGCTAAGGAACTCAGTCTTGCAGGGACATGTGACTTGCCTGTTAGGATATAGATATTCAGGCCTGTCTGCAAAGGCCGGTACTTTAAGAATTTAGGTGTATTCTTATCACTTGGCTAGTTCTAGAGGCATAAAAGAAAGAAAGAAAGAATCAAAATCACTGTCTGCCAGTGTAAGGTCCTTCTCTTACTGTGACAGTCTGAGGCCCTGTTCTTAGGCGAAGGCCTTTGGCTAAGTGACAGAGGCAGTCATAAGCTGGGAAGCGACTGGTCACATCCTCACATTGCAAACTAGTCACATTGAAATGAGGTGCTATTGGGCTGTTCGGAATACGATCCTGTCTTGATAGTGTCTGTCAGAGAAAGGAAAGTGCCTAGAAGATGTAAAAGGACATTTAGGTTGTTAGTTTTCTGTCTGGTAAGAACTCACTTACCAATAGACACAGCTGGGAAACTCTTATGTCTTTATAGATGTAGTTGTGAAATCCTCACTTCTGTATTGTTTTGTCATTGTAGTTCCCACTTTGCTATTGTTTATTGGCATGGTCTCTGTGATTGTTTCTGTCTACTGTATAATTAATTTTGCTGGGTGTAAACTAATTAAGGTGGTGGGATATAATTGGTTAGCTAATCATGTTACAATGTGTTAGGGTTGGTTAGTTAAATTTCAGTAGAATGATTGGTTAAGGTATAGCTAAGAATATTACTATATAAATAATAACAGGAAGTTAGTTGGGATTCGAAAATAAGGAAAAAGGAACTTAGATTTAAGCTTGCTGGAAGTTCACCCCAATAAACATCTAATTGTTTGCACCTTCGGACTTCGGGTATTGTTGCTCTCTGTTCATGCGAGAAGAACCAGGGAAGTGGGAGAGTGAAGAAATAAGCTCTCTAACATTGCCCATGTGACTCCAAAACTCCATCTTGGAGCTGGATTCTACACAGGGGGAGGGAGGGAAGGAGGGTGGGTGTCCACCCACAAGAGAAAGTCTATTTAAACCCCTGGGAGACCCCTCCATTTTGTGTTCAGCTGGCTAAAGAGAGAGCCTCTCCACCCCCAAGGATACCTGAAAGAAACTGGAACAAGGGACAATAACTATAGGGGGGGTGAGTGACTGCTAGACCCAGGCTAGAAGGAGTCCAGTCTGTACAAAGAAGCTTACTGGTAGGGTTTTTATCTATATTCAGTTTTTATCACTGTATTAGAGATGGATTTGCATGTTTTATTTTATTTTATTAGGTAATTCACTTTGTTCTGTCGGTTACTACTTGGAACCACTTAAATCCTACTTTCTGTACTTATTAAAATCACTTTTTACTTCTTAGCCCTGGTCTACACTAGGACTTTAGGTCGAATTTAGCAGCGTTAAATCGATTTAAACCTGCACCCGTCCACACAATGAAGCCCTTTATTTCGACTTAAAGGGCTCTTAAAATCGATTTCCTTACTCCACCCCTGACAAGTGGATTAGCGCTTAAATCGACGTTGCCGGCTCGAATTTGGGGTACTGTGGACACAATTCGATGGTATTGGCCTCCGGGAGCTATCCCAGAGTGCTCCATTCTGACCGCTCTGGACAGCGCTCTCAACTCAGATGCACTGGCCAGGTAGACAGGAAAAGAACCGCGAACTTTTGAATCTCATTTCCTGTTTGGCCAGCGTGGCAAGCTGCAGGTGACCATGCAGAGCTCATCAGCACAGGTGACCATGATGGAGTCCCAGAATCGCAAAAGAGCTCCAGCATGGACTGAACGGGAGGTACGGGATCTGATCGCTGTTTGGGGAGAGGAATCCGTGCTATCAGAACTCCGTTCCAGTTTTCGAAATGCCAAAACCTTTCTGAAAATCTCCCAGGGCATGAAGGACAGAGGCCATAACAGGGACCCGAAGCAGTGCCGCGTGAAACTGAAGGAGCTGAGGCAAGCCTACCAGAAAACCAGAGAGGCGAACAGCCGCTCTGGGTCAGAGCCCCAAACATGCCGCTTCTATGATGAGCTGCATGCCATTTTAGGGGGTTCAGCCACCACTACCCCAGCCGTGTTGTTTGACTCCTTCAATGGAGATGGAGGCAATACAGAAGTAGGTTTTGGGGACGAAGAAGATGATGATGAGGAGGTTGTAGATAGCTCACAGCAAGCAAGCGGAGAAACCGGTTTTCCCGACAGCCAGGAACTGTTTCTCACCCTAGACCTGGAGCCAGTACCCCCCGAACCCACCCAAGGCTGCCTCCTGGACTCAGCAGGCGGAGAAGGGACCTCTGGTGAGTGTACCTTTTAAAATGCTATACATGGTTTAAAAGCAAGCATGTGAAAGGATTACTTTGCCCTGGCATTGGCGGTTCTGCCTTTGCAAAAGGTTTCTGGGGAGGGCAGCCTTATTTCGTCCTTCATGGTAGGACACTTTACCACTCCAGGCCAGCAACACGTACTGGGGAATCACTGTAGAACAAAGCATTGCAGTGTATGTTTGCTGGCATTCAACCAAAATCCGTTCACGCGGTGGGAGGAGGCAAAATGCGACCTTGTAACGAAAGCACATGTGCTATGTATGTAATGTTAACAGCAAGGTTTACCCTGAAAGAGTGTAGCCACTGTTTTATAAAATGTGTCTTTTTAAATACCGCTGTCCCTTTTTTTTTTCTCCACCAGCTGCATGTGTTTCAATGATCACAGGATCTTCTCCTTCCCAGAGGCTAGTGAAGCTTAGAAAGAAAAAAAAAACGCACTCGCGATGAAATGTTCTCCGAGCTCATGCTGTCCTCCCACACTGACAGAGCACAGACGAATGCGTGGAGGCAAATAATGTCAGAGTGCAGGAAAGCACAAAATGACCGGGAGGAGAGGTGGAGGGCTGAAGAGAGTAAGTGGCGGGCTGAAGAGAGTAAGTGGCGGGCTGAAGACAGGGCTGAAGCTCAAAGGTGGCGGCAGCGTGATGAGAGGAGGCAGGATTCAATGCTGAGGCTGCTGCAGGACCAAACCAGTATGCTCCAGTGTATGGTTGAGCTGCAGCAAAGGCAGCTGGAGCACAGACTGCCACTGCAGCCCCTCTGTAACCAACCGCCCTCCTCCCCAAGTTCCATAGCCTCCACACCCAGACGCCCAAGAACGCGGTGGGGGGGCCTCCGGCCAACCAGCCACTCCACCACAGAGGATTGCCCAAAAAAAAGAAGGCTGTCATTCAATAAATTTTAAAGTTGTAAACTTTTAAAGTGCTGTGCTTAAAGTGCTGTGTGGCATTTTCCTTCCCTCCTCCACCACCCCTCCTGGGATACCTTGGTAGTCATCCCCCTATTTGTGTGATGAATGAATAATGAATGCATGACTGTGAAGCAGCAATGACTTTATTGGCTCTGCAAGCAATGATTAAAGGGAGGAGGGGAGGGTGGTTAGCTTACAGGGAAGTAGAGTGAACCAAGGGGTGGGGGGGTTCATCAAGGAGAAACAAACAGAACTTTCACACCGTAGCCTGGCCAGTCATGAAACTGTTTTTCAAAGCTTCTCTGATGCGTACCGCGCCCTCCTGTGCTCTTCTAACCGCCCTGGTGTCTGGCTGCGCGTAACCAGCAGCCAGGCGATTTGCCTCAACCTCCCACCCCGCCATAAATGTCTCCCCCTTACTCTCACAGATATTGTGGAGCACACAGCAAGCAGTAATAACAGTGGGAATATTGGTTTCGCTGAGGTCTAAGCGAGTCAGTAAACTGCGCCAGCGCGCCTTTAAACGTCCAAATGCACATTCTACCACCATTCTGCACTTGCTCAGCCTGTAGTTGAACAGCTCCTGACCACTGTCCAGGCTGCCTGTGTATGGCTTCATGAGCCATGGCATTAAGGGGTAGGCTGGGTCCCCAAGGATACATATAGGCATTTCAACATCCCCAACAGTTATTTTCTGGTCTGGGAATAAAGTCCCTTCCTGCAGCTTTTGAAACAGACCAGAGTTCCTGAAGATGCGAGCATCATGCACCTTTCCCGGCCATCCCACGTTGATGTTGGTGAAACGTCCCTTGTGATCCACCAGAGCTTGCAGCACTATCGAAAAGTACCCCTTGCGGTTTATGTACTCGGCGGCTTGGTGCTCCGGTGCCAAGATAGGGATATGGGTTCCATCTATAGCCCCACCACAGTTAGGGAATCCCATTGCAGCAAAGCCATCCACTATGACCTGCACATTTCCCAGGGTCACTACCCTTGATATCAGCAGATCTTTGATTGCGTGGGCTACTTGCATCACAGCAGCCCCCACAGTAGATTTGCCCACTCCAAATTGATTCCCAACTGACCGGTAGCTGTCTGGCGTTGCAAGCTTCCACAGGGCTATCGCCACTCGCTTCTCAACTGTGAGGGCTGCTCTCATCTTGGTATTCATGCGCTTCAGGGCAGGGGAAAGCAAGTCACAAAGTTCCATGAAAGTGCCCTTACGCATGCGAAAGTTTCGTAGCCACTGGGAATCGTCCCAGACCTGCAACACTATGCGGTCCCACCAGTCTGTGCTTGTTTCCCGAGCCCAGAATCGGCATTCCACAGCATGAACCTGCCCCATTAGCACCATGATGCATGCATTGTCAGGGCCCATGCTTTCAGAGAAATCTGTGTCCATGTCCTGATCACTCACGGGACCGCGCTGACGTCGCCTCCTCGCCCGGTATCGCGTTGCCATGTTCTGGTGCTGCATATACTGCTGAATAATGCGTGTGGTGGTTAATGTGCTCCTAATTGCCAAAGTGAGCTGAGCGGGCTCCATGCTTGCCGTGGTATGGCGTCCGCACAGAAAAAAGGCGCGGAACGATTGTCTGCCGTTGCTCTGATGGAGGGAGGGGCGACTGACGACCCGGCTTACAGGGTTGGCTTCAGGGAGCTAAAATCAACAAAGGGGGTGCCTGTACATCAAGGAGTATTTCAGGCAGGACTGCACGGAGGGTTCCAATAAGAAATGGTGCACCTAAGTTATCGTTGTTATTGGAACAAGGAGGTTAGCCTGGCCTCTGATTGATACATGGCTAGATTTACCTTGCTGCACCTTCTCAGTGAGTGACTGCAGTGTGACCTAGAGGAATGAGTCCCCTAGACAGGGGAGGAGGCAAATGAGTACAAAACAAATCTGGTCTATTTCTTGTTTTGACCCACTCCATCTATCTTTTACATCTTTGGCTGGCAGCAGACGGTGCAGAAGGACTGCATGCCATCCACATCTCATGGCTGCTCGGCAGAAGATGGTACAGTACGACTGCTAGCCATCCCCATCTCTTGCCTGCCTGGCAGAAGATGGTGCAATACGACTGCTAGCAATCCTCATCTCTTGCCTGCCTGGCAGAAGATGGTACAGTACGACTGCTAGCAGTCCGTATCGCCTGCCCGCTCACCATAAGACGGTTCAATAGGACTGACTGCAGGACTAAAGAGAATGACCTGGTCAAGTCACTCCAAATTTAGTCCCTGCGCCCATGTCTGCCCAGGCGCTCCCAGCCGACGCGGCCAGGAGCACCTCGGACACGATGAGGATGACTACCAATCGTATTGCACCGTCTGCTGCCAGAAGGCAAGGGGTTGCTGCTACTGTGCAGCAAAGCCGTACCGCGTCTGCCAGCACCCAGGAGACATAGGGTGACGGTTACCTGAGCGGGCTCCATGCTTGCTGTGGTATGGCGTCTGCACAGGTAACTCAGGAAAAAAAGGCGCGAAATGATTGTCTGCCCTTGCTTTCACGGAGGGAGGGGAGGGAACGGGGGCCTGACGACACGTACCCAGAACCACCCGCGACAATGTTTTAGCCCCATCAGAGTGCTCCATTGTGACTGCTCTGGACAGCACTCTCAGATGCCCAATTGTTTGCCATTGCTCTGACGCTGGGAGGGGCGCTTACAGGGTTGGCTTCAGGGAGCTAAAATCAACAAAGGGGGTGGCTTTACATCAAGGAGTATTTCAGGCAGGACTTCACGGAGGGTTCCAATAAGAAATGGTGCACCTAAGTTATTGTCCTTATTGGAGCAAGAAGGTTAGCCTGGCCTCTGATTGATACATGGCTAGATTTACCTCGCTGCACCTTCTCTGTAAGTGACTGCAGTGTGATCTAGAAGAATGAGTCCCCTAGACAGGGGAGGGGGGGAAGCAAATGAGTACAAAACAAATCTGGTCTATTTCTTGTTTTGATCCACTCCATCTATCTTTTACATCTTTGGCTGGCAGCAGACGGTGCAGAAGGACTGCATGCCATCCACATCTCATGGCTGCTCGGCAGAAGATGGTACAGTACGACTGCTAGCAGTCCGTATCGCCTGCCCACTCACCATAAGACGGTTCAATAGGACTGACTGCAGGACTAAAGAGAATGACCTGGTCAAGTCACTCCAAATTTAGTCCCTGTGCCCATGTCTGCCCAGGCGCTCCTGATCGACCTCACAGAGGCGACCAGGAGCACCTCAGACATGACGATGACGGCTACCAGTCGTACTGTACCGTCTGCTGCCACAAGGCAAGGGGTTGCTGCTACTGTGTAGCAATGCCGTACCGCGTCTGCCAGCACCCAGGAGACATAGGGTGACGGTTACCTGAGCGGGCTCCATGCTTGCCATGGTATGGCGTCTGCACAGGTAACTCAGGAAAAAAGGCGCGAAATGATTGTCTGCCCTTGCTTTCACGGGGGGAGGGAGGGAACGGGGGGCTGACGATATGTACCCAGAACCACCCGCGACAATGTTTTAGCCCCATCAGGCATTGGGATCTCAACCCAGAATTCCAATGGGCAGCGGAGACTGCGGGAACTGTGGGATAGCTACCCACAGTGCAACGCTCCGGAAGTCGACGCTTGCCTCGGTACTGTGGAAGCGCTCCGCCGAGTTAATGCACTTAATGCACTTAGAGCATTTTCTGTGGGGACACACACACTCGAATTTATAAAACCGACTTCTAAAAAACCGACTTCTATAAATTCGACCTTATTCCGTAGTGTAGACATACCCTTAATTAACCTGGAGTACGTCTTAGTACCTGGGGGAAGAGGGGGCAAAGAGCTGTGCATAGCTCTCTATCAGTGTTATAGAGGGCGAACAATCTATGAGTTTACCCTGTTTAGGCTTTATACAGGGTAAAACGGATTCATCTAGGGTTTGGACCCCATTGGGAGTTGGGTATCTGAGTGTCAAAGGCAGGAACACTTCTCAAATGGCTTTCATTTAAGCCTCGCTGGGATGATTTAAGCCTTTGAAGCACCTGTTTCAGGCCCTGGGTCTGTGTTGGCGCAGACTGGCGTGTCTGGCTCAGTAAGACAGGATGCTGACATCCTAAGCTGGCGGAGAAAGCAGGGGCAGTAGTAGTCTTGGCACATCAGGTGGCAGCCCCAAAGGGGGTTCTGTGATACCAACCCCTCACAATAATCACAGTAGTTTCAATTATTTTGATAATTGATTTCAAGCCACCTATCGGCATCTATGTTCGTAACAATACAAACAAAAAAAGACTGAGAAAGAGATTTTTCACAAAGAGATTCGTTACTAGACCTTTTAACAAAGAACTTTGAGTAATAATTCATTTAAACTACAATATAGAAATGTATTTCCCGCACCCCGCAGAAGCAGTGCAAAGGCTTGGGAGAGCCAGGGGTAATGAAGGAGCTGAGGGAGAGGGAAGTAATTACTGGGAAGGAGCCTGGAGTGAACTTTGAGAGTTGTTGGGTGTGGGTGGGGGACGTATGGAAGAGGGGGATTTGGGGGGGAGAGGGGAAGAGTGATTGATAGAGAGTTGTGGAGCCTCCCGTATGGGACCCTGGCTCACCCTTGGCCTCTCCCATTGAGTAAGGCACATCTGCCCTCTCTCCCCATGTGTCCCTGCATCCCCCCATCCTTGTGTGTCCCTGCCCCCCTTCCACTCCCATGTGTCCCTGCATCCCCACTTGCATTCCACCCCTGGATCACTGTTACCTCACTAGCTCCAGTGAGACCCCAGGAGCCCTGTACGCCCCCTTCGGTCCATCTCCCCCACACTCCTTGCCTCCACACCTGACCCCACTGTGAAGTATCCTCTGACCCCCTCCCCCGCAGTGGCTGGCTGCTCCAGCCGTAAGCCAGCTGCCCTCTCTTCTGGTGCCACAGCAGTCCCTAGTAGGAAAAAGGTGTAATTGCAGAATAAAATCAATTATTTTGGAGTGAAAAATAATATTTGGAGCACATGAATTTTGTGCTTGCGCAGTGGTGCAGAATTCCTCCGTGAGTAT